GGGAAGGGGGGGGGCATGTCCATGGATGCATTGATGTGTGAGGAGGGAGACTTTTTCTCAGAATTCTGACAGATAACAAACATGTTAGCATCAAGCCATAGCCATGTCTGTTTTAGAGACTAGCTCTGGTCCTCCATTAATGAGGGGACCCCTCGGGCACGTAAAACGTTGCCTAATTCCGTCATTTTCCACCAATGTGTCACTGGCCCTCTGAAACAACTCACATTGTTATCAGTGAAGCTGAGTGCCCCACATCTCTTCTTTCTTGGTGCCCATCTACATTAAGATCCAAGATTCTGAGATTAAAGTCAGAATTCTGAGATTAAAGTCAGAAAAAAAGTCAGAATTCTGAGATTAAAGTCAGATTTCTGGAAAAAAAAAAATCAGATTTCTGAAAAAAAAAAGTCAGAATTCTGAGAAAAAAAAGTCAGAATTCAGAAAAAAGTCAGAAAAAAAGTCAGAATTCCCATACTATACTGAAATAAAATAAAAAAATCCGTTAAATTTTTTTTTCAGTGGCCCTAATCCTCTTCCGAAGCTATTGGACAAGGAAATAGGATATTTAGGTGCACCGATAATACATTTTGCCTAACAACCCCTGAAACCCAGATGAACTTTGTTTCTCTCCAGCTGTTTCTAAAGGTGGAACATCTTGGCTACAGCGTTCAGTCAGAGTGGCTTTTTCCAGCACTGATCTCTATTTATTCACTGGATGCTGATTGGTCATTGGTAGTACATGCTGCCAGGGAGATTAGGAAGATTCTAAGGGCCCTTGATTGAGGTGGGCCCAATAGAAGAGGAAAAGATATGTCCCAATAGATATTTCAAATGTAAAATGAAAATCCAGCAATAAAATAAAAAATTTTTGTGTTCTCCCTCATTTTTTAGCAGTAAGTGAAACAAACGTTAAAAGCTTTTTTTATCCACTAGTTTATGCAATTTAAAGTTAATGTATATTTGACCTTTTTTTTGTTCTGATAATTTTCCATTGTAGAAATTTTACAATAAAATACACATTGTAAATGTAAATAATACTCTTTATTGCAACGGGATAGCAGTTTTAAAGCTTGCATATAGGTTTTTTTAGGGGTGGGGGGCTGATATTGTCTTTCATGGGACCCCAAATTCCTTGCAGTGCCCCTGCACGGTGCTGTGAAGACGCCATATTGGTACTTCCTAGTTAGACCAGTCGGAATGTCAACAATAAGTTCTCTACAACATTGAACAACGAAAGATGTTCTCATTCTCAGGGGGTTTCAGACTTTCAAAACAAAGAAAATCATCACTTCGACACACTTGCTGTTTCACAGCATCAGTAAATTACTATCATTTATCACACATCACATTGCATAGTCAGTTTGAAGTCTATATAAATCATGTAATATACCAACGAATGTTTGCAAAACAGAGAATACGTCCTTCTTAAAAATGAATCAGCGTAGAGCCTCTTCCTGCTCATGTTTCAACGAAAACTCCAAGTCTAATCCTTCCAAAGCTGAGTCAAACAAGAACTGTTGAAAAGTTGTTGCAACCTTCCTTGTTGTGCTTCCTCCTCAAAACCCCACCTGCTTTGCATCCAGAAATTTAAAAAAAAATCTCTGCGTTGTGATTGGCATGCCAGTTCTAGGGCCTGGGGCATTGATCGAGGCTAGACCACTGGCAGGCAAAAATGATTAAGGCCGCTGGCGGTCGGAGCTAGTTTACTAGGCTTCTTAGAAGTTTGAATACTAAAAAAGACCAGACTTTTTCTTTAAAGTCGAAGGGAAGCAGCTGTTTCAACCGTTGCATTTCTGAATTCTCCCAAATGCTGCCCGATTTTACACGATTGAATAAATTGAACGAGATTAGTCGATTATCAAGAGGGCGGGATTATTTTGGCGGAAGGTTCACAATCAAGTATGGTTTGGGCCGGTTTGTCGGAGGCATCTTGCTAACCAGTTAGCTTAGTGCTAGTAGGTTCCCAATGTGTTGGGAAGCTACTAGCGTAGGCTAGTAGGCTAAATTGGTGACTTAGAAACGACGCTGTCAAGGAACGCTATGGACAGCGGAAACATGCAAGAGGAGGAGAGTTTAGTGTCGGAGGTCATGGATGAGTCTCCTCCGTCATCCATTTTTTATTTAGAGGAGGAAAGCGGGGACGAAGATGTTGTGGAAGAGGACGCCAGGGCGGCAGAAGCTTGGTTTGGTGTAGAAGGCTTCCAGCCGTACATGTTTGAGCCCTCGCCTCGCAACGCTGCCAGTTCTGTTAGCTCTACGCCTGCTGAAGACACAGACGTCCATCCCCGTGAACACTGGGACGCAACTCAATGGGAAAGGAAAGGATTCTGATTTCAACCGCTGCGTATATTAGCTGCGACACATGAATCAAGATGCTATAACCGAAGAAATTTGATTGACAGATGACTGTTGATCTACGATTGGTCGAATTTAGGTGTTCAGGCTGATGTAGAACTAACTGGCCTGCAGAAGATAATAAATAAAAAACATAGATTTTAAGACAGGATTTTTTTTTTTATAGAAAATTTCTAAATTTTGGGACAATATAGTCAGATAGATATTACATTTAAATACATGTTTAGGCCAGAATGAATTGTCGTTTAAATATGATTTCCCTACGACTTTAAATAACAGTTTATCAAAGGTTTTCTACACCAGATAGGTAAAGATTAAAGGATTAGGTTTAAAAATGTGTTGTTGTTTTTTTATCTCAGCCTAACTATCAAAGTTAAACAATATAAATACCAGGCTTGTGAAAAAGTAACAGACTGAGTTCAGGCTTGGGTAATTGGAAGTCCTCATGCAGTTACCTGCCAGACAGAAGCACTGACAGCCTATCTATGGCTGTTTTTCCTTCTACAGCAAAGCATTGGCCTTTCTCCAAGGTGTGAACAGCTCCGTCACTGGAGGCAACGATCTTCCCAAAATGACTGACGGACACTCCTAGTCTTTTAAACATGCAGTTATAGAGATCCTCAAAGTCCTTGTCGAATGAAAGGCTCCTCAGCTTGTAGGTGATATACAGAGCCTGAGCCAAACACGCTGCGAACAGCGCGAAGCTCCACAGAAAGGTGTCGGTGGTGCATGGATCCGACCATGCCCACAGAGAGCTGCAGAAGAAGCCCAGAGAAAGGAAGGTGAACAGGTACAGCTGTCCGTAGGAGCCGCTGCCTCCCATGAAGCCCAGGAAAAGCAGAATGTGAGCGAGGTGGAACAGAGAGCCCTCTGCGTCCTCCTTCCAGTCCTCACACAGAGGGAAGGCTGGCGGCTTCAGCGTCAGGTTCATGGCTTCAAAGTCCGGAGGCTCCATGTTGGAGCTAAGAGCCGCGCGCGCAGACTGAGGGGCCACTGGGAGCCTTCAGCTGCCCAGCCCTCTCTCTCTGGCTGCTAAACAGCCCGGAGCGCAACTTTAAAGGAAAAGTACACCCAAAACATGATTAGCCTTCATTTTCTACTCACCCCCATGCTGAACAACACTCTGGAGTACTTTTTTGATATCTCAAATGCATCTGGAGATCTGGGAGGCTTCTTGCTGTCTGCTGACATTCAAATAATGGAGGTCTATGGTGCCCGAGACAGAAAGGTCCATAAAAGTCCACAAAAAACGTGTCAATATTCCTCCATACTGCTCGTCCAATGTATTCCAAGTGTCCTGAGTGGGTAGCGTCCAGAATTTACTCGAAACGAAGTCCTTTAGAATGTTTTTAGAGCATAAACAGTAGTGTATAGGATTTCCTGAAAGCGCGCACACGCGCGCTCACGACGCTACGGAAGCCGGTGTTATGCCCAAAAGTTCATTCCTGCCGAAAAATGCATCCCCAGTCGCGGGAGCGCGCCTCGCTCTGTTGAACTGCATATCGACGAGGAAAACGGATTAAAATATGTTCAATGGAGCTTAGGTTCTTATATTAATGATATAAAAACGTTTAAAAATACCTCTCGTGGGAAAAAAGTTGTGGTTATTTGGCAGATTAATTTACAAAAGTACAGATTTTTTGAACAACATTAAATCCAAAGATTTTGACCATGGTACGGCTGATTTATTTGTTGTGGTCTCTTGCTATTTACACACAACACTAAACCGTGACAGCCGACGTGAGTTTTGAGTTTGCAAAGCTTTCTCTTAAGTGGAAAATCAAACGCGCATCTACATAGCACAGCGTTCACAGACCAGTGAGATGCGTTCGCTGCGCGTCAGAAAGCTATGGTGCATTCAGGAGCATTGGAACATTTTAAACTTACAAGAATGAGGCATAAAACAGAACTGTATTTTTACTGAACTGTATGGTATTTTTTTTGTTTGTTTGTTTATGCACATCTGCTAGCTTTTTATTCTAAAAAATCTATAATATTACAGCAGCAATTTATCAAGGTTTTTCAAAATCCTGTTTAAAAGCTCCAAATGGGGCTTCAGATCATATGAAGCAACAATTGCACTGTCATTGTTTTACAGGGCAGAATTTGCATTTGCTGATCCTTGTACTTAATTACTGATGAATATACAGGAATACAGACGTACAAGTGTCAACTCCTCTGAGATAGCAGGGGATGCAGTTTTTGGCAAGGACCTGCCACAAAATGCATCCCCCTTGTTTTTAACTTAAAGATTGTCCCACACACATGAAACTCACACTGGTACCTCAGCACACACGTGGAAGCAGGTAGAAATTGAAACATCAGCTACAAATCTATATTTCTGGAAAAAAGCAGGGGATGCAATTTTTGGCAAGGACCTGCCGTTTAGGAAATCAAGATTTACATCTTACATCCAACCTAAATGTAAACTTTTACCTTACATTTGCATTTCACCTTTTTGGGTTTGGAAAACAAAACCATTTGCAAACACAGTAATGTAGTTCTTTTGTGCTATTTACTTTATTCTTAGTGTATTATATATAAAAAAAAGTTTTACAGTTCAATCTAACAAGATTAAACAGGTTTGAACATTTTTGAAGTACCTTCGAAACACAACTTAATTTGGAACAGTGAAAAGCAAAAAATAATTTAAAGGAACTTAAATTAAATAATGTTTAAGTCGAACTATTTTCTTCAAACTTGTTTTTTTTTTTTTAACAACAGTTGAAAACTATATGCACAGTGGACAGCAATACTCAGTGTCAGGTGGTGGGTTGTTGACACAGCCCTGGTGGTACCACCTGTTGCATCCGTCACAGGCAATCTGAAATGGACAAGATTCAAATAGGATTACTAATAGCATTGATACATGTTACAATTAGCATTTAATAACATGGATACATGATGTATGTGCGTCCGTGTATGATGTATGAGGTGTGGGTGAGAGAGTGTGTGTATATATATTTTGAAACACATTAGCTTTTGTTTAAATGTAAAGTCTGATGCTAGTTGAGACCAATAGCTGTTTGTAAAAGCCCATGGATAAGAAACTTTATTTCTATTTCAAGGTATCTTGCAGGCATTCTTGGTCAGTATAGGTGAAGCTGGTTTTATGTAATCTTCTATTACACATAAAGCTCAAAAGAAGGTTAGAAATTTAATTTGATTCTGCTTAATTTGATTTGTATAACTCCCTTTAACCTCCAGTAGAACCAGAACTAGGCTCAGTATGAACGGTCATCTGCCTCGACCGACTGAGGGTTAGAGAAGACAGAGCAGAGACACAACGAGAGAGACAAACAAGCACAGAAGCGCACATTGATCCAGGAGTACTTTATGTTTTATATGGTGTTAGTGGATGATCTGCTTCCCCTCAATTATGTCACAGCTAAACAAACATCAAACCAGGTGTACCCACTATAAAGAGAAAAAAGACAGAGAAATAAAAGAGCAATGTTTAATTAAGCTTAAACTGTTGTTAATTCAGAAAGGTCTACTGGGGCAAAACAGTCCAAACAATAATCAGCTTTAAAGATTTCTCCACTAGTTCCCAAACGTAAGGCTACTCCATTGATTTATTTCTTTCATTACTGTACAAACTGATTAATCCAGCTGTGTTTGGCTATTGTTATTGTGGTTGCTGAGGCCACACACACCTGAATTAAACAGTTAGTCCTGTAACAAAAGACGGGCAATAACATTGCTGCCATCTGATGGCCATTTCTGTCTTAATGAGGAAATTAAAAGGGGGAGTGAATCTTTACAGCTTAATTCAGCATTGTCATATAAGGATCTACTGTAAGGAAACCTTGTTAGGTGGGCGAAGAAATCAAAGACTATTTTAAAAAATTGTCTGATAGGACAGGGCTGTGAGGAAATACTAATAATTATTCACAATCAATGTCATAACCCAGTACAAGGTACAAAGTATGCAGGTAGTAGTGTCAGTTTATTCACAACAGGAGAAAAACTAATGGACTCTGGGAATGGTTTTAAAGGAAACTTTAATTTTATCAAATTCAGTACCAACATTATTGTTTTGATTCCTCACTATAATAATCTTGTCCGTGTTTACACTAAATCAGGTCTGAGAACTGATCTAAACAAAAGAGGGTCGTTGTAGTTATTAATTGGCCGGGTACAAATGAAGAAATCAGTATGAAAGATGTTTACCTAGTCCTCCTCATGCTTTAGTTCTGGGAATGGTGAAATGTAAATAATTAGAGGGAGTTCACTCATTTATACTAACCTATTCCTCTCACAGCAATGTTTCTGTGAGAAAGAATAAATCCATATGATTGTCCGTAATAAATTGATTAACCAAAATAGTCTGTGAAGTTGTACTATGTTGATGTGTATTAAAAGTCTTATATGTAAAAAGTGTTGATCTGTCGACACTAAATGTTACTGTACAAAAAAAATTGATTCAAACTGCAAATGGTTGCATCATAATGTATTAAGAATTTGCTTAATTTAGCTAATTAAACTCCTTTGGAATTAATTTGTATGTTTACAGCAATTTCTTTAATTCCATTTTAACCCATTAAATGTACTTACCCACAGAGGATCATCAGTGTCTGCACTCCCACAGTGACTGCACAGGTTGTCCAGTGATTCTACATCAAAAGAAAAAAAGGTTTTACTAATTTTCAGGAGCATGGTAACACTGCATGGCTGCTCCTCTTTTTCAATTGTTTTTTGTCTCTTGGTTGATAAGAAGCTGAACTCATAGTCCATCCATTCCTTACTGACTGTGCGTGATTCCGAGCTCTGCAGTTTGTCTTTTATCTTTCCATACTAAGCATGCTCTGGTTTCTGGCCTATCTTGTATTAGAAAACCTCGCTTTATAGGTTCTTTTTGTTACAGCCAACATTGTGTTCCATACTTTTATTGGATTGTAAACGTTTTTTATTTAAATTACAAAAGATGAAACAGAAATGACAAAGAGTAATGCCATTTATAGGATTTTGATTATGTTTACACACATATGTGTGTCTGTCAGATCAACGTTGTATCTTTCTCTTGCGTAATTCTTTTCAAAGACAATTGTTTTTTGATGGATTTTTAAACATAATCCTTAACCTGTCAGTAAATCATGCCTTTCTTCTCTTTACCTCCCCATGTCTATTTTGCATTTTATACCTCAATTTAGCTTTCCTAGCAAACTATCAGGGCTTCTACAACAGTCTTTCGATTATTGATGTAAACTCACATGTTTATGTATCATTTAATTTCTCAACCAAAAGTTTCAAAACAGCAACTGTCTTATAAGTTAATCAAAATATGACTTTGTTAGAAAAATATATTATTCATTGTAGGTGCCATCTCCAAATTCATACTTTGTTATGTATTATCAAAAATTAAGCTGCTGTAGTACAAATTTTTGTTTTGGAGTAGAAAAGGCATACAATACTCAGTCTGTGAATCAAAGTAAAAAAAAAACATATTTCATAATACTACCGGATTGATGCAGATAGGTTGTGGCAATGTCAACTCTCAAGGCGTTGATAGCGTCTAAGGTAGTTGAAAAACTAAGATCTTTTCCTTCCAATAAGCACTCCGCAAACTGCAAAAAAAAACAACACAAAACATAATCAATACAAATAGCAATTCAGAGTAACCAGTTAACCTAAACAGTCATGTTTTGTGGACTGTGGGAGGAAGCAAGAGTAGGCTACCTTGAGAGAACAAATGGATGCACATTCATAAAATTTAAACTCAGAAATGATGAGCCCAGGACATTCTAACTGCAAAGCAACAGTGATACCACATGTGTAAAGTGAAATAAAATCAACATACATTTAATAAGAATGTGATATGATTGATGTTATTACTGCTAATTATTATTTTGTGAGCTGCCATATTAAATGATGCCTAGCATTTAATACAGCTGCTTTGGATGGAAACTTTAGGAAAAAGATTATAAAGAAAGAATTACCCTCAAAATTTGTACATTAGTAAACAAATGACCAAAAACAACTGTAACACAGTACAAATAACTAGTTTGCAATGTAACAGTCAGCCAGGTTGTCAAATTAAAATGTTACGATTGATTTGGACAAAGTAATCTAGAATAGTATAAAACAGTAACATTTTATTGTTAGGTACTTTTGCGATTCAGTTGGAGCTTTATGCCCATGTTTGTTTATCAAAATAGAGTAATTACTTTCCTTAAGACCCAAATTTAACTGATCCAAGTAAATTCTAAATTTCGTTTTCCAACAGTACTTACTTTCAGCGCAAACACACCACAGGAAACACTGTCAGGTTGGATAGCATGTGGAACAGTGTTGCATGTCCATCTCGACACCTTTAGTCCTTTCTGCCTCATGAAAGCTCTTGGGTAGATAATATGATAAACATTTTCAATAACAAGATCTCTCAAGTTCTTATCAGAAACGTGAATGAGTGTCCTGTTTCAAACCTTGTTGCTACCAAGCACCTCTTCATTTTTCCTGGGGATTCTCCTAATGGGTCAAGGAACACTGTTGTTTTATCCATGGGATAAATAACCTTGGGGTTTAAACATAAAGCCCACCTCATTACTTTGATTTTTAATTCATAAGTCAGTAAACTGTTATTTCAAATTAAATCCCGTAATATCACATTCAAATAAACTCTATTCGATCCGTAACAATTTCCTTTTTCAATATATGAGTGGCAACTCTATTTCCAGTCACATCTCTTCAATACTTTAAATTTGTCAGTATGATAAATTGTGAATTTTGAAATTTTGCATTCCTACCACTAGCATCCAGTGGTGACTTTCATTTGCAATCCCCAGAATCATTGCATATTTTTCTGGATCAATCTGAAAAAATAAAAATAATAATAAACATATATATATATATATATATATATATATATATATATACAGGTGCTGGTCATAAAATTAGAATATCATGAAAAAGTAGATTGATTTCAGTAATTCCATTTAAAAAGTGAAACTTGTATATTATATTCATACATTACATACAAACTCATATATTTCAGATGTTTATTTTGTTTAATTTTGATGATTACAAATGACAACAAATGAAAATCTCAAATTCATCATATCAGAAAATTAGAATATTACTGAAGACCAATAAAAACAAAGGATTTATAGAAATGTTAGCCAACTGAAAAGTATGAACATGAAAAGTATGAGCATGTACAGCACTCAGTATTTAGTTGGGCCTCCTTTGGCCTGTATTACTGCAGCAATGCGGCGTGGCATGGAGTCGATCAGTCTGTGGCACTGCCAGGTGTTAAAGAT